TCATAAAGATGGCCAGCATGCAACAAAACATTAATAAATATGTAAAGAAAAAGATAAATGTGACCCAGAGTCAAGAGAAAAAGCATTAAATAGAAACAAATATTGAGATAATCCAGATGTTGGAATTAGCAGACATGACATTTACAGCAGATATTTATAATAGGTTCAATAGAATGGCTAAAATAAAAAAGATTGAGTATACGAATGTTGACAAAGATGTGGAGCCCCTGGAACTCTCATACATTGCTGGTGGGAATGAAAAATGGTATAGCTAGTTTGGTAAACAATTTGGCAATTTCTTATAAAACTAATTGCATATGTACGATAAACCTACTATCAAGTCAATTCTGACTCATAGCGACCCTAAGGACAGAGTAGAACTGCCCCTTAGGGTTTCCAAGGCTGTCAATCTTATGGAAGCAGACTGCCACATCTTTTTCCTATGGAATGGTTCATAGATTCAAAGCACCAAACTTGTGGTTAACAGTCTCAGCAGTGAAGCTCTTTAACCACTGTACCACTAGGGCTTCTTCTACCTATGATATGACCTAAAAAATTCTACTCCTAAATATTCCACATGAGACCAAAGCATAAAATAAAAACATAAGTCTATATATAAGTCCAAACAATATGTACATGGATGTTCATATCTGCTTTATTCATAATAGTCAAAACCTAGAAACAACCAAAGTGACCACCAATAAATTAAAGGATAAATAAATTGTGGTATATTCATTGAAGGAAATACAATTCTGCAATAAAAAGAGTGAATTCTGAACACATATAACATGGATAATTCTTAACAGCTTCATATAAGTAAGAGGTATTCACTCTCTAACTCACTGCCGTTGAATAAGATCCGACTCATAGCAACCCCTCCTTGGGTTTCCGAGGTGGTATCACTATGAAGTAGATTGCCCAACCTTCCTTCGGAGGAGTGGCTGGTAGGTTTGAACCATTAGCCTCTGGTTAGCAGTCAAATGCCTTAGGCACTACGCCACCAGAGCTCCCAAGTAAGAGGTAGCAAATATAAAAGGACTGAATTACATTTATGTGAAAATACACAATGCATGATTACATTTACATGAAATTCTAGAAAAGGAAAAACTGTGGTGGTAGAAAACCATCAAGGTTTCAGGGGTCAGGTGGAATGTAGGAGGAGATTGAGGAAATTTGGCATGATGAAATTTGGGGTATAATAAAAATATTCTATATCATGATTGTAATAATAGTTACATGACAGGGCATTTTCAAGTCTTCAGATTGTACACTTATAATTTTTAATTTTATCCTATGCAAATTATACCTCAAATAAACTTGATCCTCACAATAAAATTTCATGGATAGAGTGGGAGAAAAACACGGAACAAAATTCAAAATTAAAAAAAAAAGAAAAAAGAAATAAATAAAAACGGCTTACTGGTCTAATTGAGACTGGTGGAGCTCCCATGAGTATGGCCCTTAGTCACCATTCAAGCCTGGAACTGAACTCACATTCACCTCCCTGGATCAGCTTTCAGACAAACAATAGACAGAGGAAGAGTAACAACAGGGAAGTGTGCACTTCATAGAACAATCAACCACATGAGATCAAAAGGGCAACATTTGCCCAGGAATAAAGCTCAGAAGACAGAAAGAGGCAGGAAAGAAGGACAAATGCAAACTGGAAGCACAGAGAAGAAATGGAAAGAGAATGGCTACATTGTGGGGATTGCAGTCAATGTCGTGAAATAAAATATTTATAAATTGTTGAATGGAAAACACTTGCTATGTAAACTTTCACCCAAGTCACAATAAAAAGTTAAAAAACAAAACAAACCTTCATCCTTATAAAAAGCAAAACAAAAACTAAAAAAAGAATGAGGGTTAGCCACATAACATTAAAAAACTAAGTCTCTGCTTCATTTTTACTTCATTTTTATAAGCAGAGATGAACTTGGTGATAAAAATAACCAGTCATGAGACAAGCTCAATATGCCAAGGTATATATTTGAAAGAGCTATTAATGTGGCTACTGATAAGTTATAAGTGTCACATGATTTACTCTGTGAGTGTTGAAAATATAACAATATTAAAGTGAAAAGCAAAAAAATAAATAAAATTAAATATAAAGGAATAGATAAAAGTAACTGGCTTGTGTGCACAAGAAAAGAAGCCTAAATGACACAAACCATTAAGTACTCACCAAAAGGTTGACTGTTTGAATCCACCCACCAGTGTCATGGAAAAAAAAGTCTGGAAATTTATTTCCAAAAGATCATAGACACTGAAAACCCTATGGAACACAATTCTTCTCTGAAACACATAGGGTGGCTTAGATTCATGGCAACTATTCTTGTTTTTGTTTGGTATGCATTAAAAATATTTTAAAAAAAAAGAGACAAAGAAAGGCTGAGGAATTTTTTTTAATTAAAGGAGATTATAGAAACAAGAAATGTGTGTGATACTGAAAATGTGTGATACTGTATTGGATCCTAGATCAGCAAAAGTAAATCACTATAAAGGAAAATTAACAGTGTTTGAATTTGGGTTGTAGATTAGATAATATTATTGCATCAGTGTGAAATTTTCTGATTTTGATCATCATATTGTAGTAACATATGTGAATTGACTTATTCTTAGAAAATACTGAATACATACTCAAGTATTGAGAGGTAAAGAGGCAGGTTGTAGCCAATTTATTCTCAAATGGTTCAGGAAAAAAAAAAATAGGATAATGGAAATGGGACAAAATGCAAATAATTAGTGAATCTGGATAAAAGGTATATAACAATTTATTGTACTATTCCTGTAAACATACTTTAAGTTTGAAAACAATTAAAATAAAAATTTATTTAAAAATATATTGGTGATAGAGGTTAGGAGCTTCAAAATGAACTATATTCTTATTGCAGTTGTTCAGTAAGGGATAATTAGAGCTAGATCTAATATAGTGGTAAAGCAGATGACTAGTTTATATTATTTTCTATTTAAAATGGAATAGTGATTTTACCCTTGTTAAGGAACAATACCCAAGTTTTTTACCCTTGTTAAGGAACAATAAAGTAACCATACATTCCATTATGGCCTTTTTACAAATTGCTGCGTACCTTGCTTTCTAAGAATATAAATATGTCTAAACTTGCTATGAAAAAGTTATAGTCTATGCTTTCCTCCTAGAAAATATAAGCAAAGAGAAGAAATAGTGGGAAAGGAACGCTAAAAATTGAAATTTAGTTTTGATGAGCAGAGGTGGAAGAAATATACTCTCTAAAGACTGTAGCACTAAATCATTCAGAACCTATATGTGGGGCTGTGTTATGCTAAATCTTAGCAAAATGAACTAATACAGAAAGCATCTCCCAGCCAGTTACATTCAGAATTTGTGGTTTCACACACTGACTTGACTATCCATCATCAGCTTCCTATTCTTGGAGCTCTTCTACTTTCGCCTCCTCCCTTTTAGCAGAAAAATCAGAATCAGAGGCTTTTTCCTATACCCTGAACTCAGCTACTCAAGCTTAGCGGAAAGATTACCCATTACCCTTGAGTCCATTCAAATTCATAGTGACTAGCTTTGGGTTTCCAAGGCTGTAAATCTTCTGAAGTAGATTATCTCATATTCCTCACAAGGAGCAGCTGATGAGTTTGAACCACCGACCTCTGGTTAGCAGACAAATTCCTTACCCATTGCACTACCAGAGCTCCTTCACAGGATGATTACTTACTGCCGTAGAGTCAGATCAGACTCATAGCAACCTCTCCTCAGGTTTCCAAGGTGGTATCACTATGAAAGTAGATTGTCCAACCTTCCTTCTGAGGAGTGGCTGGTGGGTTTGAACCACCAGCCTTCTGGTTAGCAGTCAAATGTTTTAGGCAGGTATTAAAGACAATTTAGCACTTAACTGAGGTTTTCTCCCAGAGAGTATCAACAGACATGAATGGTCATTGACTGGGCATTAAAAGGGATGAGTTTTAGGGACTTTGCACTCTGAATGATAGGAATATGTGAATCTGAATCATGGGGAAAAACATGAGAATTTGGGAGAGGGATATAGTGCAAAGTGATCCCAATACAACATACAAATGGCCCCTCGTCCACACATAAAGGCCCAAAATGGAAATAAAAATCCTGTCACAGAATTGAGAAAGGACAAAGTATTCAATATAACAATGAGAGTCTGGGGCTATGAGCCAACCATACTTGATTCTAACCACAATCCTCACATTTACTAGATATCTCATTTTAACCTTCAGTTTCTTTATCTGTTAAATAAACCTAATGTGAGCTTATGTTATTTCAATGTTAAAGAAATAATGTATATAAAAATAACTGTGATATTTAACTCATAATAAGTACAGAATAAAGGAAAGTTGTCATTATGATTAGAGAGTGAGCAAATAGTCTCAATTTTATATTTAAGGAAATCTCATGGCTCTATCTCAATTTTAATACTCCAGTTTGCCTGATTTGCTTTTATATTTACATTCTTCTCAGTACAGAAATTAGGTTTGAACTGGAGCTTGATGTAAGGAAATAAACAATTGAAGCTAAGGTCGGAGAAATAAAAGAAGAAAACTAAAAGGGAGCTCCAGAAATATTTTTATGGAGGAAAACTTGCAGAAAAGGAACACAGTCTCAATGTGCTTCTTTAATCCTCAAATATAGTCTCATCTCTGCACAGGGGCAGATTGATGTTCTGGTGAGGATCTCTCGTGAGAGGACCAGACTGCCTGGTTTAAATCTTAGTTGACCACTGGTTAACCATGTAACCTTGGGAATAATACCATCCACTCAAGGGTTATTGGGAGACTTAAAGCAGTTAAACACAGTGCTAATAGAACAAGTGTCTTACATATAGAAGCTTAAAGAGAAAGGGCATCCAATAATGCAATGCCTCTGGTCACTCCAAAAATTTTCCATCATTACTAACTTTCCAAAAAAGAAAGAAAGAAAGAAACTTAAAGATACACACCATTTTTGGTTCTTATACAGTATTTATGGAAATAAAATGTTGTACCTTGTAAACTGCCAAGTGCAGGGCTGTAAATCCATTTCTAGTTAGTCTAGATGGGCGGAGCCCTTTTAGCATAAGGGTTCGAATATGTGACTTGTTGCCTTAAAGAGAAAAATGAAAAGAGCTGATTAAATCCTCCTGGGGGTGGACCTGATAACTTTAAAATTTCTTGCTAACTTAATGGTAAATGCCATACTGATGTATAAAAATGTCAAACTGCTGTTCATCAGGCAACGTGTAAAGTTTTCTATTAATTGACAGCTTTATTTAATAGTGAACAGTTCTACTACACTTAGAAAACTTAATCTCACTGCTGGATATTTTAATGCATTTGTCTTATACTTTTATTTAGTGCCGTCAACACAAGATGGTTTTAAAATATGAAATCACTCATCTTAATAAACTATTGGTAAAATAAAAAGCTTAGATAAAAGTCTAAGCAGAACATCATTAGCAGGTATATTTAGATCAGAGAAATACTGAAGGTATGATCCAGGTTGGAAAGGAACATTAACTTTGAGAGGATAATCAGTTTTGTAGAAATACCTTAGTTTGTTTGGAAGGAATGATTAAAGGACATAGTGTAGATACTTAAACATCAGTATTCTATGTAAAGAGCTGAGTTCAATGAATACTAGCTTAGAGTACCATAATACATTTCAACTATTCATTCATTAAATCAATACATGTATTGAATGCTTATTATATGCCAGTCATGGTTCTAGGTGCTTGGGTTACACTAATGAACAAAACAGGGGGAAAAAATATGAGGAAATTAAACTCTTCATATTAATCTTCACACTGAGATTTTATCTTTGGCATTTATCACCTTCCACATATTCTTACTGCATATTGTGAAGCAACTGCTTGATGATATTTTGGGCAGTACTTTAAACGCTTCTGAATTTAACCTATTTCCTGACTGACATGCCCAATACTGAAAATACTTTCTGATTTCCAAGCAAACTAAGTGACTTGGTTCAGAGAAGTAGCACAATGAAACTTAAATTCAGAGCTAAATCAGTTGGAATGTCTGCCTGGAAGTTATTGCTTCATCTGAAGAAGGTCTGAAGGTTATCAAGGCTGCAGGGGGCAAAACAAAAAAGAAAATTGAATATGAATGGAATTCTCTTATAGACTATGAAACAGCTCAAATCACTGACAACATATGTGTGTGTGTGCATGTGCATGTGTGTGTGTGTGTGTGTGTGTGTCCTGCTTAAAAAGTTGTTGTTGTTATGTGCCGTCGAGTCGGCCCCGACTCATAGCGACCCCTCCTTGGGTTTCCGAGGCAGTATCACTATGGAAGTAGGATTGCCCAACCTTCCTTCTGAGGAGTGGCTGGTGGGTTTAAAAAGTAGCAAGTTTCAAATACTTACCTCCACAAATGCAACATAAATGAAGTAGAGACAACCCATTTTCTGTGCGGTAATTTAAATTGACTTTACTGAAGGCTTCATCAGAGCTGAAAAAAAGATTTTACAGATGATCACAAATTTCCTCTTCTAGTATACTGTCTTTCATTTGAAAAATTATAGAAAGAAATTCTGTTACTATAAATTCAGAAATACATTTTGTCAAGATACTTTTATACCTAGAGAAAGTATTTTGAGTGTATTTCTATATAAAAAGGAATTAGAATTGAGAACAAGAATATTAAAAATTTGAGATACCAGTGTAAAGACTCGCATTCATAGTTCTGTGTTCAATGTATAATTCCAGTATTTGAAGGTACTTTGATAGATTTTAAATCATTTGTAAACAGAAAACACAGACAATTGAGAGTAAATTCATTTCTCTCACACACAAAAATTCACATCATCTCTTTGGAGAAATTCAGGAAACTGTAAGAGAGGGGAAAAATGTAGCATTTGATCAGAGATTGGAGAAAAGAATATAATCCCAATGTATTACAAATTCTACCTGAAGCAAAGCTTCCTTGTACTCTGACAGGTCAGATTTCACTGATAAAAAAGGTCTAAACTGTAGTAGGGTACTGTGATACAGTCCCAGGTGAGGCGTGGTGTTAGTAATTCTATTAATGAAATCCCTGCCTTTGTCTGAACAAAGACCACTGCCCTAGGAGGGCACAAGAGATTCACAAGTAGCCTTTGAAAAGAAATGGAAAACTAAAATTCTCAACCTCCTGAGGTCATTGGCACTCCCAGGGCATTTTTTCATTAGAAATGAGATCATATCCTTTGCCTCCCCCGTCAATTTTAAACTACCTCCTGTCTATTTAAATCTCTAGCAGCATAAGCTAAATAGCGTAGTCTTTGGTGAATGAGCCTTCCATAACATTTGCACTTATACTTGAAAGGTACAATAAATTCAGAACATTATCATCAAGGCACCCAGTTAAGAATATCAAAAGCAACTGAAATTTTTAAAAAAGAAAAAGAAAGGGTGTCTTTCTCCAGAGTGCTGCTAGAAAGAGAAAGACTCTTAATTTAGTGAAATTGAAGGAACTCGGTGAAATAATTTAATCAGCAATGGCAAGTCCAGTGGTTGTTCTCGTAGGCCTCAGAATAGTTCAGGTCTTTGCCACTACCAGGAGGCACAGTGGTTAAGCATTTGGCTGTTAGTCAAAAGGTCATGGATGGAACCCATGAGCTGCTCCCTGGGAGAAAGATGAGGCAATATGTTTCCTTAAAGATTTACAGCCTTGGAATCCTAATGGGCTGTTCTACTCTCTTCTATAGGGTCACTATAAGTAGGAATTGATTCAATGGCAGTGGGTTTTGGTTTCCACTGCCTGGTCTTCTTGTCTACCTCTCATCTGTCAGTTTCTCTACTGTGGTGGCTTGTATGTTGCCATGATGATGAAAGTTATGCCACCAGTATTTCAAACACCAGCAAGGTCAGTGGACAGGTTTAATGATGTGGATGCAGACTTTCATTTGTTCATGTGGCACAACTCAAAATTAGGGAAAAAAAAACAAAACCCACAAACATCCATTAATAATCTGAATGAGTAATGTACAGAGAATGAATCTAGGAAAATTGTAAAAACTGAACTGGAATGCATAAACATTGATATCCTACACATTACTGATCAAAATGGATATTGGCCATTTTGAATCAGACAATCATGTGGTCTACTATGTGAGGAATGATAAATTGAAGAGGAATGGTGTCACATTAATCATCAAAAAGAATATTTCAAGATCTATACTGAAGTACAATGTTGTCAATGATAGGATAATACCCATACACCTACAAAGAAGATTCTACCACTTGTCTGCCAGTTTCCCACTCTGGGTGGTGTTTTGGTTATCTACTGCTGCTCTAACAGATCTGTCCTGGACGAAGTGCAGCCAGAATGCTCCTTGGAAGTGGGAATAGCCAGACTTCATCTCACCTACTTTGGTCATGTTGTCAGAAGGGACCATTTCCTGGAGAAGGATATCATATCTGGTAAAGTGCAGGGTCAACAAAAAAGGGGAAGGCCCTCAAAGAGATGGATTGACACAGTGGCTACAACAATGGACTCAGGTATAGCAAGGATTGTGCAGCTGGCACAGTACCGAGCAGTGTTCATTCTGTTGTACATGGGGTCGCTATGAGTCGGAAGCTGACTCGATGTACCTAACAACAACAACAAACAACAGTGCTACTCTAACAGAAAATAATACAAATGGGATGGGTTTAACATACAGAAGTTTATTCTGTGACAGTTTTGGGGGCTAGTCATCTGAATTCAGAGTGCCAAGCTCTAGGGACTGGGTGGAAGTCCCTTGACCTTAGGCTTCAGCTCTACCCCTTGCTCCCAGCCCACTGAAACTGGAGGCTTTCTTTACTCAGGAAGCTGCTGGCTGCTAAAGCTGACAAACCTGAAGTCAACCAGTAAAAAGGCACAGTCCCAATATAACCAAACCGCACTGCAGGCTACTGATTCAAGTCCATTGACAGTCCTAAGATCCACAGACAACATGGCAGGCTGCTGAACGACGACTTGGCTACATGCAGAATTCAAGTGTGCCAAAAGCTAGAGACTATTCCCAAACCTTTTCCTTACATACTGGAAGCTGACCATATCTCTAAAGCAGCTAGTCAGTTGCTCATGGCAGATTCTACCATGGGGTTGATTGCCAGTCTCATGATGGGGAATAACTACTACCAGCTGCCCAGCCATTCAAAACCAGGCCCATAATTTGACACATAATCTTAACTACCATAGTTGGCTTGTGTGTTGCTCTGAGGCTAGAGGCTATACCACTGGTATTTTAAATACCAACAGGGTCACCCATGGTAGACAGGTATCAGCAGAGCATCCAAACTAGATAAACTGAGAAGAAGGATGAAGCTATCTACTTCTGAAAAAATTAGCCACTGAAAATATTATGAATAGTAGTGAAACGTTGATAAAATGCTGAAAGATGAGCTCTTCAGGTTGGAAGGTACTCAAAATATGACTGGAAAAGAGCTATATCTTCAAATTAGAATGGACCTTAATAATGTAGATGGAGTGAAGCTTTCAGGACCTATGTTTGTTGATGGCACATGACTCAAAATGGAAAGAAACAGCTGCAAACATTCATGAATAATTGGAACATGGAGTGTATTAAGTATGAATCTAGGAAAATCAGAAGTGGTCAAAAATGAAAGGGAATGTATACAGATTGATATCCTAGGCATTGGTGAGCTGAAATGGATTGGTGTTAGACATTTTAAATCAGACAATCATATGGTCTACTATGCCAAGAATGAGAAATTGAGGAGGAATTGTGTTGCATTCACCATCAAAAAGAACATATCAAGCTCTATCCTGAAGTACAATGCTTCCAGTGATAGGATAATATCTGTACACCTACGAGGAAGACCAGTTAATATGACTATTATTCAAATTTACACACCAATCTCCAAAGCAAAAGCTAACAAAATTGAAGATTTTTACCAACTTCTGCAGTCTGAAATTAACCAAACATGCAATCAAGATGTATTGATTATTACTGGTGATTGGAATGCAAAAAAATGGAAACAAAGAAGTAGGAGCAGTAGTTGGAAAATATGGCCTTGGTGACTGTGATAGTTAAGTTCGTGTGTTAACTTGGCTGGGCCTGGTTGAGTGGCTGGGAAGCTCGATGTAGTATTCCCCATGATGAGACTGGTAATCCACTCCATGGTGGAATCTACTGTGAGCAGCTGAGTAGCTGCTTTAGGGAAGTAGTCTGTTTCCTGTATATAAGAAGAAGTCTTGGGGAATTGTCTCTAGCTTATGGCATACATGAACCCTACATGAAGCCATGTCGTTGTTCAGCAGCCTGCCACGCTCTGCCAACCTTGGGACTTTCAAAGGTCTTGAATTAATGGCCTGCCATGTGGTTTGCTAATATTGGGACTATGCCATTTTACTTGTCAACCTTGGGTTTGTCAGTCTCAGCAGCCAGAAGCTATCTGAGTGAAAAAAAAAAAAAAAAAAAATCTAGCTCCAGTGGGCCAGGAGGAGGAGGCAGAGCTGAACCCCAAAGTCAAGGGCCTTTCACACAGCCCCTAGAGCCTGGCTGGCACTTTGAACTTGGACTTCTAGCCTGTCGAACTGTAAGAGAATAAACTCCTGTTTGTTCAAGCCATCCCAATTGTGGTATATTATTGTCAGAGCAACACTAGGTAACAAGAACATTGACAAATTATGCCAGAGATAGCATGATAGAATTTCGCAAGACCAATGACTTATTCATTGCAGATACCTTTTCTCATCAACATAAACAGGAGCTATACACATAGACCTCACAGGATGGAACACACAAGACTCAAATCAATGACATTTGTGGAAAGAGGTGATGGAGAAGCTTAGTATCTTCCATCAAAACAAGGCCAGGCACTGACTATGGAATAGACCATCAACTGCTAATATACAAGTCTAAGGTGAAGCTGAAGAAAATTATAACAAGCCTATGAGAGCCAAATTATGACCATGATTATATTCCACCTGAATTTAGAGATCATCTGAAGAACAGATTTGATGCATTGAACCCCAATGACTAAAAACCAGAGTTGTGGGATGACATCAAAAACATCATACATGAAGAAAGAAAAAGGTCATTAAAAACACAGGAAAGAAAGAAATGACCAAAATGGATGTTAGAAGAGTCTCTGAAACTTGCTCTTGAAAGGAAAGTAGTTAAAGCAAATGGAAGAAATGATGATGAAGAAGATTTGAACAAAAGATGTCAAAGGGCTACTCAAAAAGACAAAGTAAAGTATAATGAAATGTGCAAACACCTGGAGTTAGAAAACCAAAACAAGAACACGCTCAGTATTTCTCAAGCTGAAAGAATTGAAGAAAAAAATTCAAGCCTCGATTTGCAATACTGAAGGATTCTAAGAGGAAAATATTGAACAATATGGGAAGCATCATAAGAAGATGGAAGGAATATACAGAGTCACTGCACCAGAAAGAATTGGTTGACATTCAGCTATTTCAGGAGTTAGCATATGATCAAGACTAATAGTATTGAAGGA